ATTGTGGCAGGAGCGGCACAGACCCATCTCTGGCAGAGGGACCCATTCAAGACCTGTCTATGTATGTAATAGGGGTAATATTTTTGAGGGATCTTTGGAATGGGGGCAGGTGGTATGAGACCTTCATCCCTTGGGACCTTTAAAGCCATAGCCCTGGGGGAAAAGCCTGAAGGGAAGAATTCTGCCTTGGTGCCTGCAGGAGATGTAAACTCAATGAAGCATCTTTTGTTTTTATCTCCCAAGTAGGAGAGGAATGGAGCTTTTCTAAAGTGAGCTTCAAGAGTGGCTGATGGCGATCATTCAGCAAAACACAAAATAAAAGGGCAGGAATCGTTAACCACTTAATTGTAGTGCTCTTCCCAACAGCTGGGATGTAAGTGGGACACCAAATTCATCCTAATCCTACTTTGAATTAGCCCCGTAAATTGCTTTCAGGTTCATGGGTGCTGCGCGGCCTTCATCTTCTCAATTGTCTCCTGCCCAGCAGTTAAGTTCCTCTTGAACTCTTCCTTCATCTCCAGCACAAGGCTGGAAATAGCTTTCTGGGCCTCCGCACAGCCCCTGTCTATCTTAGCATGCTCCGAACTAAAATCGGGATCGGAAGGTTCCAGAGTGAGGATTTTCCCTGAGCTGTGGAGCAGGTCTAGCAGATGGTCTGTATAAACTTGGGTGAATATCTTGGTGATCATGTACAGCATCCAAGCCACATTGGAAGCATTAAATGCATGAGTGGCCTGCTGGATGCCTTCGGCAGAAGCTAAACATTCCTCAATGTCCCAGGTGAAGCAGAACTGGATCAGGTTGGAGATCATACAGGATAACTGCAGCATCTTCTCCCACTGCTCCTCTGCCTTGGCCAGGGCAACCCGCCGTTCGATTAGCATCTCCTTAGTTGTCTCCAAATCTCTTTCGCTCATCTCACTCGCCTTCAACTCACAGAGGAGTTCTGTCTGCTCTTTCATCAGCTTAATGGTGTTCTCAAAACTTCTGTGCTCTTCTGCCTGGGACCCTCTCAGTGCCTCCCCTCTGCTCTCCACTTTCGATATTTGCTCTTTTATCCACTCAGTTTTATCACTCACACCTGAGCTGATGTCACAACATGAAGCAAAACTGATGGTCAGAGCTTTTTCAATCTTACTAAGAGCCTGCTTTATGTTCCCTTCTGTCAGCTTTTGCTTCAACTGAGCATCCTCCATAGCCTTCCTGACCGACTGCTCCATCTCCTTTGCCTTTCTGAGCTTCTGCTGCACATCCGTCAGGTCCTGCTCACAGCCGTGCTCAGCCTCCTGACAGGCCAGCAACATCTCCTGCGCCAGGGAAATCACCTCCGAGACCACGTCCCTCATTGCCTGAGCCGACTCTGTGCACTTCTCTGCTTTGTTCTGTATGTTCTGTCTCCCACTCTGGAGCTGGTCCCTTCCTGCTTGAGCATTTTGGAAGAAGCCCTGGGTGATTTGGTTCATCTTCCGTGAGACAAACATGGAATGCAGGCGGCTCCCGTCCATTTTGACATAAAGTTGATTCAAGGCCTCCCCTGTTCGGTCACACATTTGATGCAAACAAGCCCTGAAGGATTCGGGGTGTTTGATGTATTTAAATCCATCTTCAGGGCAGTTCTCTTTGATGGACACATCGGCTTTTTGCCTTGCACAGAGGCATGCCAGTTCCCCCAGGATGGCAACAGAGGCGGGGGCTGGCATGAAGAGCTCCTCCCACTTGGCATCCGGCTTTAGCAGCAGCTCAGCCTCTTTCCTCACACTGTCTTCTTCTGCGGGGCTCACCGTGGCTTTGGTTATGGCCTGAAATGGTCCTCCTGCTGCTGCCATGGGATAGCCCTGTAAAACACAGAAAGAGATCACAGACCTGGTTGAGATCCCCCTGCTGCGCACTCGGAAGACTTCTGTGTTTGGATCCACATAGTGTCCCCTGTACCCTTCTACGTCCACAGAGTCTGAGCCATATCCAGGTACTCTCAAGCTTACCGCTAGGGTTCACTACATGTGACATGAATTCTAGGAATGGGGACCGTGCTGTACACATGCCTTAGGAACTAAAATCAAGGCTCCCCTGTAGTTTAGGCTTGACTCTTGGGGTACGTCTACACTGCATTGCTTTTCCAGGATACCAAGGAATGCGTCCAAGGAACATGTCCGCTTTTTTGAAAAAAAAAATGTTCAAAAACGTGGACACGCTCTTTCGCTATCCCTATAAACCTCGTTCTATGAGGAATAAGGGATATGCTGAAAGAGGATTGTTTTCCAAAATTTGGTGCCATGTAAATGCGTTAAGTCTCTTTAAACAATAAATTGGAAAAAGAGACGCAGTTTGTGTACTGCAAATCCCATTTCTTTTTCTGATTTAACTCTGTTGTGTAGACGTAGCTTTGGCCACTCTGGTTTACAGTTTAACCCTTTATGGACAGATGACACTTGAGACAAGTAACTCACAGTGTGAGGAGCTTCAGGAGGTAGCCGAGTTAGTCTGTTACAGAAAAAAACAACAAATGGTCTGGCTGCACTTTATAGACTAACAAAACGGGGACCCCAGGAGTGCAGCCTGGGACCGTTGAACCACTGTGCTCTCCGAATTCTCTCCAGACAGAGCCGTCTCCCACAGTGCCTCACAAATGGTCTGGCTGCACTTTATAGACTAACAAAACGGGGACCCCAGGAGTGCAGCCTGGGACCGTTGAACCACTGTGCCCCCCAAATTCTCTCCAGACTGAGCTGTCTCCTACAGTGCCTTGCTAGTGACCAGCAGCAAACCCTCCAGGCTGGGTTATCACTCAGCACAACTAGCCCCACAGTCAGCTGCTAGATTGCATGAATCCTCCTAGGACCACTCATGAACCTCTCAGAGAAGACACCGGCCAAATCCCCACCTCCCTCTGGCTCCTTGTACTCTACCTCAGGAATATACCATCTAATTCCTTGACTGATTCACCCCTGCATGAGTGGAAATGGGGCACACACACAAGCTTTTGTAAAACCCTGGAATAGATTTGCCACACACTTCATCCAAACTCACTGGTGAAGATGAACAGCCAAAGAAATCGACTGTGTGTAGAGACAGAATGTATGTGACTATAAGGGGTTAGGCAACAAGCCAGAGTCGTTACCAAAGGAAAAGACAACAAACACATAGTCTAGACCCTCAACCCTGTTAGATTGGACACCTGCAAGATCAGTGGTGAGCAGCCTGCACCCCTTTGAGGTCCTAGGGATGGCCCATGTGAATTGGCCATTTGAGGACAGTCCTTTTTTGCTCCTCTGTCCTCTACTCATATGACACAGGACGCTTTTTTGTCCTGTTTTTCTCATGACCCGAGGTGATGGTTAGCTTGTGTGCCCTGGTGTGGCCTCCAGCAAGAAGAAGCAGGTGAGCCCGGCTGCAGCTATTCCCAGCTAGGTTCCCGGGCTCTCCTGCAGGCTGTCTTGCTAAGCAGCAGATAGCCAGGCAGGTGAAAGGGGCTGGCTGGGGTGTGTAACTTTTGTTTGTTTTAAACCTGCTGCCTATTCATTTCATTGGGTGACTCCTAGTTTGTGTGTTATGGGAACAATTAAATAATGTTTCCTTATTCACTTTCTCCACACCTACCATGATTTTATAGACCGCTGTCCTATCCCCCCTTTACTCCTCTCAGAGAACTTTCCCCTTGCTCCCTGAAAGTCAGAGGAAGAAGAGCAGCAGGGATCTTTTTGTGTGGCTGCAGCTCCACCCCTCCTGAATTGGCACCCTTGCGCACACACTCCCCGTAGACACCCCTATATCCGTCAACTCTGGGCCCCTCTGCTCCCAGTCCTTACTCCTGAACACCCCACATCCCCCTGCCCTGGGTCCCTATGCACTAAATGCAACTGCCCTCTATTCGCGAGGTACCTTGATGGCTGCCGATTGCACTTTATCTGCAATATCACAGTTACATAGAAATGAGGAATGCAGGAGCGGGGTGGGGGGTGGTTACAGGGCACTCCCCCAAGAAACAGAAAGTCCCACACAGATCTTGGAGAGGGATTCCTAAACCCAACACATTTTCACAGATTCCAGAGGCAGAAAGGACCCTTGTCATTATCTAATCTGACCTCCTGAATAACAGGCCATAAAACTTCCCCAAAATAATTCCTACAGCAGGTTGTTTAGCAAAACATCTAATCTTGATATAAAAAAAATTTCCACGATGGAGAATCCACCATGGCCTGTCGTATGTTAATTCTCCTCCTCCACTGATAGAAACTTGTACTCCCTATTTTCAGCGTGAATTTGTCTGGCTTTGTTCTTAGAGGTGAACAGTTCTCCTTAATAAATCACATCGTCATTGGTGGAGCCCACCTTGCCATAGCCTCACGATCAGTTTGCATCAATGATCTTTGTTGTTGTCCACTTTCTCAATGGTTGTGCCTGCAACTGTCATGAGGAATGGTTTTGTATTTTCTTCCAGGACCCTCAAAAAATATTAAACAAAACAGGGTCAAGAACCAGTCTCTATGACACCCCAGTGGAAACCCACCCACCCATTTTAGTTAGATGTTAAGACCTATTCAGTGAGCTAGTTTGTAATGTTTCATATGTGCTGTATCGATTTCACATCAATCTCATTTCTTAATCACAGTGTTGTGCTAACACCCTACAGGTATCATCACTGTTACCTTTATCAACCAAATTTGTTCTCCCATCATAGAGAGATACCAAGTTAGTGTGACAGGAACCATTTTCCAGACACCCAGGTTGATTGGCAGTAATTATATTACTGTCCTTTAGTTCTCTATTAATCTAGTCACATATTAGCCACTCCACTGTCTGGTCCTGGATCATTGTCAGACTGAACATAAGAATGGCTGTACTGGGTCAGACCAAAGATCCATCTAGCCCAGTAGCCTGTCTGCCGACAGTGGTCAATACCAGGTGCCCCGGAAGGGGGTGGACTGAAGACAATGATCAAGTGATTTGTCTCCTGCCATCCATTTCCAGCCTCTGACAAACAGAGGCCAGGGACACCATTCCTACCCCCTGGCTAATAGCCTTTTATGGACCTAACCTCCATGAATTTATCTAACTTCTCTTTAAACTCTGTTATAGTTCTAGCCTTCACAGACTTCTCTGGCAAGGAGTTCCACAGGTTGACTATGCGCTGTGTAAAGAAGAACTTTCCCTTATTAGTTTTAAACCTGCTACCCATTAATTTCATTTGGTGTCCTCTAGTCCTTATATTATGGGAACTAATGAATAACTTTTCTTTCTTCACCCTCTCCACACCACTCATGATTTTATAGACCTCTATCATATCCCTTCTCAGTCTCCTCTTTTCTAAACTGAAAAGTCCCAGTCGCGTTAGCCTCTCTTCATATGGGACCCGTTCCAAACCCCTAATCATTTTAGTTGCCCTTTTCTGAACCCTTTCCAAGGCCAAAATATCTTTTTTGAGGTGAGGAGACCACATCTATACACAGTACTCAAAATGCGGGCGTACCGTGGTTTTATACAGGTGCAGTAAGATATTCTGTGTTTTATTTTCTATCCCTTTCTTAATAATTCCTAACATCCTATTTGCCTTTTTGACCACCGCAAAAACTATCCTATTTGCCTTTTTGACCACCGCAGCCCACTCTGTGGAAGTTTTCAGAAAACTATCTACAATAACTCCAAGATCTCTTTTCTGATTTGTCGTAGCCAAATTAGCCCCCATCATAGTATATGTATAGTTGGGGTTATTTTTTCCAACATGCATTACTGTACACTTATCCACATTAAATTTCATTTGCCATTTTGTTGCCCAATCACTGTGAGGCCTATAATAGATATGAGGCCTATAATTACTGGATTATCCTGTTTACCCGTTTAAAATATTGATACAACATTAGCTTTCTTCCACTCTTCTGGAACTTCCTCAGTGTCTCAAGAGTTACTGAAAATCAGAATGATTCACATGCTTTCTTGATGCACGTAGGGTGCTGTTTGGCCCCCAAAACGCCTATCATGGAGGGGTTCAGCTGGGGACAACAGACCTTTCTCACCATGGCCCAGGTGGCCTGGAATCCCCCTCATTCTCCTGCACCCCATTTTCCAGGTTGGATATTAGGAAAAACTATTTCCCTAGGAGGGTGGTGAAGCACTGGAATGGGTTACCCAGCGAAGTAGTGGAGTCTCCATCCCTAGAGGTGTTTAAGACTCTGCTTCACAAAGTCCTGGCTGGGTCGATTTAGTTGGGATTGGTCCTGCCTAGGGCAGGGGCTGGACTTGGGTGACCTTCTATCCAGCTCTCCGGTTCTGTGATTCAATGATTCTGCCCCAAACCTACCCCAGAGCCCTTGCACCCTAATCCTTTGTCCCAGCCCTGCACCCCTCAACCCCACCCAGAGCACCCCAACCGTCTGCCCTAAACCTGAGCCCCTTCCCATAGCAGAACCCCTTGGCCCCACCCCCAAGACATGAATGTTACATGCACTCATATGAAGGTGATATGTTGCACATCCTCCCCCTGTCGCACATTATTCACGCTGCTCAGGGCTGGGAAAAGTTAGAGAGAGCACTGGTGCCAGCGAGCCAGCCCTTTAGTGACTAAAACGAGAGGTTTGTTATATATTAAACAAAAGAGCAAGCAGAGAGGTGCTGGAAAGTCACATACATACAAAGAGCTCCGAGGCCACCAGGTTCCTAGCAATCCGGGGGCGTCTGCCGGCTTGCAAGCCCCTCTGGAACACACCCCGCGCTGGGCCGGGTCCTTCAGCCTTTCGTCTGGAGAACGGTCGCGCCGGAGCTCAGAAGCAGGGGTGGAAACAAAATGGAGAAGACGCAGCTGGCCATGCAGCTGGCGCTTTCTGTGTTTGCAGGCTGCCCGGCACGTGATCCGAAGCCCTAGGCCTGCCCCTGCGCGCCGTGCTGAGTCAGAAGCTGCATCTCTGGTCCTTTCGCTCTGCGGCGCGCATCCCCGGGTGGTCCCCAGGCTGCGCGGATGCGGGGATCTCACCCAGCCGCGCGGCGCACGTGTGCAAAGCAGAGATACCCTTGCAGGTGTCCCGAAGCGGTGCTCCTAGTCGCCTCCAGCGTCTCCACAGCGCGCCACTGCCAGGCCCCTTTGATCCCTCCCTTGACAAGTTACAAGAGCGCAGTTAAACACTCCAGGCGTGCGAGTGTCATCCCTCCGTGCGGCTACGTCGCAAGAGTGACACAGCTCTAGACACAAACAATAAAAACACCCCTAGGATCGTTCCTTCTTCGCCAGGGTCTTCACCACCGCTGAGCGTCCTTTGGGGTTTTGTCAGGGTCTCCGAGAGCCTAAGACTGCTCCCTCTTTCTTCCACCTCCTCAGTCTTTCTGGTTGATGAAAGAGACATACTCAAAGCAGGACTGCTGCTTCTGGCAGATCTCCTGGCCAGCATTAAAGCATCCTCAGTGATCAAGGTCCTTGTTCAAGTGACTTTTTGATGAGCTATGCCACACATATAGTCCAGACAGAAATACCTAGTTTTTTTCAGCTTGGCTATCTCTGTAGCCAACTCATTGCATGTCCAAGGCAGATGAGAAAGATCCATTCAAGTATTCTTAGGACTCTGCATAGTTCATCCTTTTTCATCTTTTTTATTATTCATCCTTATTCTCTGACTTGCTGGAGGCCCCCAGCTGGTGAATAGTATCAGAAGAAAAGAAAAGAAAAGAAAAGAAAAGAAAAGAAAAGAAAAGAAAAGAAAAGAAAAGAAAAGAAAAGAAAAGAAAAATAGTATCAGTAGAAAAGACAAGACAAAACAAGAAAAGAACCCAGGGAAGGGACAGGACGGTCTTTCAAACAAAAGGCTGTTCACAAAACACACTAGAATTTGTTTGTTGCTAGAGATGTATAGAGGCCTATGTTAAACCATCCCAAAAGCTCAAGAGACATGTACCAAGGAGGTACAAAAGGAGGGGGGAGGGAAATGCTTTATGATTAAAGCCAGAGTCCAGCAGCTCAAGATTCAAAGCTGGGAAAGCCTTTGATTTTCAAATTTTCCACCAATTTTTGTGTAATTATGAAGAGCCTCAAAGCTGATCTGCAAATAGGAATAGCACGGCCCCGCTCCGTGTGCCTTTGTCCGCCAGATTAAAGAGCTGGCTGTCAAATATTGGTTCTCGTGTTGATACTTTCAGAGTGTGATCAAGTCACCCCTTAATCTTCTCTTGGTGCAACTAAAAAGGTTGAACTCTGTGAGTCTCTCTCACTCTCCCGCATGTTGTCTAATCCTTCTGCCATTCTCACTGCTATTCCCTGATCCTCCCCATTGTATCAGCGTGCTTCCTGAACTGAACCAGAACTGAACCCAGGAGTCCAGCAGTCACACCACCAAATACAGGTGCGAAATAACCAACCTCTCCTCTCCTGCTTGAGATTCCCCCTGTTCATGCATCCAAGCATCACATTCACCCTGAGGGATCTGAGGAAGTGGGTCTGGCCCACGAAAGCTCATCATCTAATAAACCATCTTGTTAGTCTTTAAAGTGCTACATTGTCCTGCATTTTGCTTCAGCTACACCAGACTAACACGGCTACATTTCTACTACGATTCACCCTTTTGTACCTGGGGTCTGACCCTATTCAAGCCAATGGAGCAACCCTTCCCAGCTGGGGTGGGTTAGCACACACCGACTGAAAATCTGCCATAAACTCGGCAAGCTTTTTTGCTCTTTTTTCTTCTGCCTCACAACTCCCAGGGACAGGCGGGACTCACCTTTTTCAGATGTAAGAACAGCCTGAATGGTTGTCCATTTATGATGCCGCTTAGAGTCAGACGATCTCCAGTGCTGCTGAAGTGCTGGCAAAATGGGATTTCAATATATGAGGGAGTGGGGGGGAGTTATGCAAATGCAAACAACTGGGTGGGAAGCTCAGATTACCAGGGCTGAAGGAGGGCTCTTAAAGTGACCACACACTGAATTGTGTTTGCCAGGGCTCATTTGTGTTTTATTTCTACAGCTGGAGCTTCATTCTGTGGTTAGGGTAGGGCAGGGGTCTCCAGCCTTTTCAAGCATGAGATCACTTTTTGAATGTAAGTGCATTCTGAGATCTACCTCATATATAAATACCCTTGCCCCTTCTCTGAGGCCTTGCTCCGCTACCTCCAGCCTCTCTCTCTTGCCCATCCTCACTCCCTTTCATCAGGCTGGGGCAGAGATTTGGGGCGCAGGCTCTGGTCTTGGATTAAGGGATCTGGAGCGTGAGAGGGGTTCTGCGTTGCTCTTGGGGCAGGCAGATGGGATGCACGGGTGCGAGGGCAAGGACGTGGGGACCAAGAAAGGGGTCATGACTGGGATAAGGTTTCGGGGTGTGGGCTCCAACTGGGCACTGCTTACTTCAGGTGGCTCCTGGCTGGTGGTGCAGTGGGGCTAAGGCAGACTCACCCCTGCCCTGGCCCTGCACCAGTCCCAAAAGCAGCCAGCAAACTCCATCCCAAGTCCTGTTGTGCCCCTCTTGGCTTTGTGGAGAAAGGATACGGAGTGGGAGGAGGCACCTTGATATCAGCACCCCCTCCTTGCCCTGCCCAGAAAGCAGGAGGCTTCCCAGGGGGAGGGGCAGGAGATGTGCAGCAGTGCAGGGAGGGGCAGCTGAAGTGCAGGCACTTGACAGCCTCTTGGCTAAACCCATCAAGATCCCCTGTCAGAGGCTCCAAGATCGACCAGTCGATCCCGATCGACTGGTTGGTGGCCACTGGGGTAGAGATGTTCATCTGGCATCAGATTAACAAATACTGGACAGAGGCAATGTAAGTGAGGCAATATCTTTGACTAGCCAACTGTGGTCGGTGGAAGGGACAAGCTCTGAGGCTTCACTGAGGTTTTCTGACGAGGTCTATGAAGTTTGACTTGCTCGAGGCCCCCCAGCTGGTGAATGGCAGAGCTAGGACAGGCCAGGACAGTGGTCTTTCCACTTGGACACCCCACCGCCTGTGATTCCTCCGGGCTCCTCCCCTCTCTGGTGCACTTTGGGATAATGGACAGGGGACCGTGGCTGCCCTTTGAAATGTCTCTGCGAACAGAGCCAGCGAGAGAGATCTCATCCATGTTCCCCAGCCTCAAATTTCCACAGCTTCCCTGAGGGGGGGTTGTGTGACTTTAAGAACCTGGGAGAAGACTGAGAAGATTGGTTCCCCCCCATCCCCAACATTTGCAGTTTCCTCTCCCTCCCCATCCCGTGCAATCAGCAGCTGGCTCGGTAGAAAGTACTAACAGATGACAAGTTGCTTCTTGTTCGCTCCTGCCCTGCGCTATTGTGTACACACATCACAGGCTGCAGCATCCTGGTAGGCCACATATTGCCATGGCGACGCAGCCTGACCTTTACACTAAGATGGTCCCTTTCCACCTACTCCCACGTCCCTCTGCGAGTCAGGCTGAGTCTGCCGCCCCTCCAAACCAGGCTCCTGCCCCACACTCTGGCCAGCTGCACCCCTCCCCCCTGTGGTGACTAAGGTTGCCAGATAGTTTCAACAAAAATACTTGACACACTTGGCATTACATCACTATCTACATTCCATCTGCTTGAGAAAATACCAGACATTTCTATCGGCGCAATTATATTTTCTCTATTTTTTTCCCAAACATAAAGCTCAAATACTGAACTGTTCGGTTCAAAACTGGACACCTGGCAACCTTAGGGGTGACGTGCATCTAAATTATTCATTTCCCGGGTTTCAGATGTTTAAAGGTGTGTCATTTTGGGGTGGGAGAAGGGCTTAGAAACCCCACAAGGCCCTGGAGATCCCAGAACACACATTAGGCAGGGAGAGGGGCTCAGACACTTGCAGAGGGGTGAGGATCCCCCAGATCCCAGCACAGCTACAGAATGGAAGAATTCAAGGCTGACATGCCCAACCCAGAACCCCTCAAGCCCACCCAAACTAGGTAAATACAACCTAGAAGGAGTTACAGAACAGGTGGAGAAACTGTTCCCAGAGGCTACCTCTACTGCACTGCAGCCTTTTGTGGACAGAGAGTATGCGAATGAAGTGTTCATTTGCATTTGTCATGCTGCCTTTTGCATATTCTCTGCCCAGGCTTTTTGCACAAAAACAAGCTGTGAGGAGACAGTGCCATTTTATGCAAAAATTCCTTTTGTGCAAGATCCTTATGCCTCCAAAAAAGGAGGCATAAGGATCTTGAGCAAAAAGTGTTGTTTTTTTCACCAAATGTTCCCATCTACACGGCTTGTTTTTGCGCAAAAAGCCTTGGTAGAGTCTATTCAAATGACAGTGCGACAAATGCTGATGAATGCTTCATTAGCATACTCTCTGCAGACAAAAGGCTGCAGGCTAGATTTAGCCAGACAGTAATTATCACAGTTATGCTGGAAGGGCACAACCAGGGCTCAATTTGGTTCAGTATTTTCACCAGTGATGTGAAAGAGAATAGATGCAGTTAGAGTCAAACCTGGGTTCTCTAGAGCATAACAGTGAGCCTCTACTATTTGATCTATAAAGCCAGCAGCTACTCAGCTATGTTTAGAGAGCTCCCTTGTTCTTATCTCTCACTGTAAGTGGTCTAAGTCCCCCTACATGGGACAGTGAACCACACTCTGTGTGTGGGTTACATATGCTTATAAAGTTTGTGGATAGTACCAAGGCCTGTTCTCTTCCCTCAGTCTCCCACAGATGCCACTGGCCTTTTCTCCCCACCCCCCAGTCCCTTACCCCTGGCCATCAATTGCCTTTTCTCTCCTAGTGTCCCATATCTGCCAGAGCCTTTCCTCTCACCCCTGCCCTCTTTGGCACATGCATGGTACCAGCCCCGGGCGCGTGGGCGGCCCTGCCCCCAGGCGCACGGCGTGTGAGCAGCCCCACCCCCGGAAGCGCAGCGTGTGAACGGCCCCACCCCTGGACACCCGGTGCGTGAGTGGCCCCACCCCCGGGTGCCTGGCAGCCATGAAAGGTTGGGGACCACTGCTCTAATATATATATAGGTACAGTTTTAATACGATTTTTAATCAAATGTGACAGTTTCCTTTGACTGGAACAATGACATTAACTGGTTGTCACATTAGAGAGCCAGCCTTCCCTGCATTTAACACCTCATTTTTACATCAAATGCTAAGTATGAGACACGTCGAACCCACTTAATTAGCCTCATAAGCACCTGTCCTACAATTGACAGGTTCCCTTTCTGGTATAAAATACGTGGTTTCTGTTATTCCTCTTCAGCTCATCATCTAAGGGAGTGGTTTCTGTCCCTGAAAGCTCATGACCCTCTCTATATTTTTGTTAGTCTCTAAGGCGCCAAAGGACGACTCACTGTGATCATTTTTTATATAATTAATTTTATATTTTTATTCTTCATATAAACTTCCTACCTCATTTTGAATTTTGCTAACTTCTTGGCTCCAAGAATTTCCTGTGGCAATGAGTTCCACAGCCTAATCACATGTTCTGTTAAAATATTTCCTTTTATATTACGCAGATTAGCCCAATGCCCTATCAGATCACTTTTTAGACCTGATTTGACCTTATCATTATAATCATTCTACCAAAGTATCAATTTGTGTCATAATTGTCGCTCGATCAGGAGGCTCGGATACACTCAGTGAAGCCATGGTGGGTGCATAATTATAAGAGGTTTTATTGCCAAAGCATATTACACCTTACAGTCTTCACGCATTACCAAATATGTGCTTCTCAGTGCAGAGAAGCAGGCAATTCAGCTAGCAAGCAAACAGGCAAGCAAGGATTCAACGCTTACGCCCCTTGGGCTGCCTCCAGTCCTGGGCCCTCCTGTCCAGGCTCTCGAGGGCTGGTAGCAGGCGCTGCTCCAGCATGGGGAACTCTTGGGCATCTACCAGGCCTAGATCCACAGGTGAGACTGACCGCTCAAGCAGCGCCTCTCAGCTGTTTTATAACTCTTTCTGAGAAGCACAAACATTCATAGGCAGATTCTAGCAAGAAGCACAAGGGCTATCCCATTCCCACACATGTCCTTGGGCCTAATTATCTTACAAATTGTTTATGCAGCTAAGAAGGCCTTGAGCCAGCTCATCACCGGTTAGAACCAGCCCACCGCCGGCTCCAGCCGAGCCACCTGCAGAAGACAGCAGGGATAACTAATGGTCATCCCTGACACATATGGAAACCTCAATAGCAATGATTTAATTTTTTCTTCCAGGTAGTGTTAATCCTATTTTTCCTTGGAGACAATATGGTTGACTGGAGAAACTGTAACACTGTGGCATTGCAAGACAACCAGATTGCAAGGTAAAGAGATATTTATTCAAAATAGATTTGGAGGCCACTTACTTAACTCAAATGTCCACAATTTCTTGGGAGAAAAATGTTCTTTGCTAACGATCAATATGCCCCTTCCCTTTAATTAAAAGCAGAAAACGCTTCAGCTATATTTCTATTGAGCTCCAATATGATTACCTGTAAAAACTGGGGCAGGCCTGACATGGGAAGGCATAAAACCTTGCTCATACTGAAGTCAGTTGCTAAGCTCCTGTTGACCTCCATTAAATCGAAATTTCATTTAGTGTTTTGTATTTCTCAAGGCAGACACAGAGGTGTGGCCAAAAACGGCCTTATGCTCACTTACACTGACATAACATAGTACGAATCCACAGAGACCCCAGGGGCAGCAGTGGAGTCAAGGCTGGATTCTGATCTCAGTGACCCTGGTGTAAATCTGGAGTAATTGGGGTCAGTCTCAGGCCCACTGAAACGCCTAATCCCTTCTGCCCTGGTTTATCTCAGCTCTAAAAATTCCTGCCCTTCCTCTCCCTAAGCTTTTGAGCCACATGGTTTAGTTCCTCAGCCATTTTCTTTATTGCTTCTCTATCAGTGAACCCCAAGCTCCCCTGTCCTCCCTTCCCCACCTCTGACAGCACTAACTGATTAATCTCCTCCAAAACTATGGTGGCAGTTTCATAGTCTGAGGGATCATCGATGTATGTTTCTAGCGTGTCGACCTTCTCTGTCAGCTTTCTCACAAACAGCTTGTGTTTTTCCAGCTCAAGCTTCTTTTCCTGCAGCACTTTTAAAAGCTTTCCCAGTTCATCGCTGGCCTCTTTAATTTTCTCCTGTCCGGCTGTGATGTCTTCAATCTTCTCCTTGATTTCTGCCTTCTCTTTGTCACATACATAGCCCTCCTTTCTGTAGTCGGACACCTGCACTTGGTACTGGTCGATGGCTTTTTGCAGCTCCAGGCCGGCTTTCTGCGCCACCCACGTAGAGACCAGACAGATGATGGTCACGATGCTAGCTGAGAGGAAAAGTGGCTGCGTATCAGTCACTTGGAGAGCTTCTTGAAAGAATTTCATCGAAACTATTTAGAAAAAGAAAAATGGGGGGATTGGTTAAACAAACATTTAAAACAATTATCCAACATTTTGACAAGTATCAGAGGGGTCGCTGTGTTAGTCTGAATCTGCATTAACAATGAGTAGTTCTGTGCTACCTTAGAGACCCGGGTGGCCAACCTGGAGCTCATGAGCTGCATGCAGCTCTTCTCCCCGAAAAGTGCAGCCCCCCAGAATGGCTCCCACCTCCTCTCTGGACCGCAACTCTCCTGTGCTCACCAGGGTGGCAATTCAAAATGGTGCCCAAGATGGCAGGCATCTATGAGAGCCTTATATGGATAAAAAGCCTATGCTTTTTTCTTAAAGGAGCAGCCTCTTTTTTCTTTTTTCTTTTTTTTCTCAACAATTCTGGTGTGACTCTTCATATTTTTTCCATCACTGTTTTGGTTCTCTTTGTTAAATGGGTTGGCCACCCCTTTTATAGACTAACACATTTATTGCAGTATCAGCTTTCATGGCCAAAGACCCACTTCATCAGATGCATGCCATTTTGATGGCTCTATTTAATTGTACTTGATTGAATTTGGTTAATAAAACAACAGAGACCAAATGCACCAGACCAAAAAAAAAAAAAAAAAAATAAGTAGCATTTGTGTTGCTGGATGGGATTTATAGTTCTGTGGACTCACTTGCCTTTTTTCTCCCCCGGGCAGGTTCCTTAACCAGACGATATCATGGGAGATGTAGTTTGACCAAGGAGCCTGGCCCATACTGGAGAATGGGACCATGAGGCACCAGGACTACAGCACCAGTGAAGCACCTGTCCAGCCTTTCCAAATCGAAGCGTTTCCGTTTTCAACAACTGATTGTTTTGATGAAAGCTCAGCACTTTCTGTGGAAAAATTTGACCTAAACAATGTTTTTGGTAAGTTTTCATTTAAACTTCTCATAGCAACAAATGTGTGTGTGTGTGTGTTGGGGGGGGGGGGGGCGGCACGCTGAAAGAACTGGACTTTTCTCCTCATGCTCCACAGGCATCCAAAGACCCCAGGTTTGATCCTGTGTTGAAAGCTGATTCCTTCTGACCCCCCCTACTCCCCAGAACAAAGCCAGCTTGGGCACTGGCAGGGTGAGCTGCTGCCACCACCATGTCTCCCCCTGGTTTGCAGGATTCCCCTGCGATACACTGCACCCTGTGCTCACCCCGGCAGCCTAGTGTAACAATCAGTACAAGCCCCGAGAGGTATCCTTTGAAACTCACAGTCAAAGGCTGGTTCTGTCCTGGGGAAATACGTGTGACATACCACACTAATACCAACCCTGGTACCTTCCCTTGCAACAAACCCCGTTGCCAGCTTTGTCTTGCCATTTCAACCAGAAAGGACATTGTCTCAACGACTTGATTACCTGCATCCTGCTTCAAAGACCTTTTAAGACTTCACTTCAAAGAGAATCCTCTGAACTGTCATTCATGCTTAAATTCGACACTTTACACACAAATTTGAATAAAGACGCTAATTATCTTACCCATTACAAAGATAGCTTCCCCAATTATCACCTCTAATATCATTAGCTCACAGACATTTACCTCCCCTCCTTCCCCCCCCTCCATCCCCCTTCTGTTCTGAAATTTGATTTGTCCTTTTCATGTGTGTTCATTTTTTAAAATTGTATCCTTTGGTATATATGGTTGTGACAATTTTCTTCCACTATTTGATCTGAGGAAGTGGGTCTGGCCCATGAAAGCTCATCAACTATTAAACCATCTTGTTAGTCTTTAAAGTGCTACACAGTCCTGTTTTTTGTTTCAGCTGCACCAGACTAACACGGCTACTTTTTTACCATTCTTCCAAAAGTAGGAGCTTGCTGCTTACTCCCAAGGCATCCATAAATCCAGCCTTCTTTTAATGAGCCCACTTCAGAGGTCCCACTGTTCTTCTTGTTCTTGAATCTGGCTTGCATCTTTCAACAACCATTGCCTTATCCAGTCACATCTCGGGGGGGGGGGAGCCCATGTTCTGTAAAAGTATACAAAGTTTGTATAAAAGGACATCATATGATCCACAGTAACACATTTGGCCTTTGCCCCCAAGCACAAAACACCCTCGCTATGCCTCTGGTATGGACCCCTTACACAGCTGTGCTCCGCATGGCAGGTCTGGGGGGGTGGG